GCGATATATACTTTATCCCTATCTCTAATCGTTTTTTATCCTTTGGCATCTTTGATCTGTTATCTCGTATCTGGTATCTGGTGTCTGGTGTCTGGTATCTGGCCTCTGGTATCTGGTATCTGGTGTCTGGTATCTGGTTAGCAGTTTTTCATTTTTCATTTTTAATTATTCTATTTTAATTTTTAATTTTTCTGATTTTTTCGATTTTTCGATTTTTCGATTTTCGATTTTTCGATTTTTCGATTTTTCGATTTTTAGATTTTTAGATTTTAGATTTTTAGATGTTTTGATTTTTTGACTTTTTGACTTTTTGATTTTTTGATTTTTTGATTTTTTGATTTTTTGATTTTTTGATTTTTTGATTTTTTGATTTTTTGATTTTTGATTTTTTGATTTTTGATTTTTTGATTTTTTGATTTTTGATTTTTTGATTTTTTGATTTTTTGCTTTTTTGATTTTTTGATTTTTTTGATTTTTGACTTTTTGATTTTTGATTTTTTGATATTTTTGATTTTTTGATTTTTTGATGTTTGTTTTTTGATTTTTGATTTTTTGATTTTTTGATTTTTGATTTTTGATGTTTTTTGATTTTTGATTTTTTGATTTTTCTGACTTTTTGATTTTTTTGAATTTTTTATTTTTCCTTATTTAAATCTGCTGACGATTTCCGTTTTTCAGTTTGTCGTTTTTTGTTCTTCGTTTTTCATATTTTATTTTTCATTTTTCATTCTTCATATCTTCATTTTTCATTTTTCATTTTGCATTTTTCATTATTCATTCATTTTTTCATTTTTTCAACGTCGCATTGTGTACACCATCAATAGCACACAGGCCTTATATAAATCTTCGATATAGCATTTAATGCCCTCTATAAAATTGTATGATAAACTCAGATTTATGTGAGGAGCCTGGCAACGTCGCATGTGTCACCATAAATAACACCACAAATGGCATTATAAAATCTTCGATATAGCATTAACGCCCTCTATAAACTGTATGACAAACTCCGATTTATGTGAGGATCCGGCAACGTCGCATGTCTAGCTACCGCACTTACAAAAAATGGCGCTTGACACTTGACATATCTCAACCGTGTTCGCCTAAGGATAGCACCTTCTATCTTCAGTGTAAATGTTTTATGATTTGACAGGAATGAAAATTATTCTTACCTTATTTAAATCTGCTGACGATTAATAGAGAGATATTGCATATGGACCTAAATAAGGGTATGCATTATTTAGGTGAACCTAAATAAGTACAGTGGAATTAGAGATATTGCACATGTAACGTATTTTGACAGTTCGCTTTGATGGTGTTTATCTTAACCTCACTTTTCCTTCCAGTTTTTGCTTGCATAATATAGGTGGTTCGTAGTTGAAATTCTACCAAAGGTGTGAGAAGTGAGATTGTAAAATGGAAGCTGAATTGGAAGCAGTTATATTGGCAGGAGCAGATGAGGAGGAAATAGAACATATCATCCTCCATAATATATTTATTGATAGAGGCATTACTCATACAGCACAATTCAACTTGGAAAACTTGCCAGATGAAGTAATAAGACTAAATTTTCGATTTGAGAGGTCTGACCTTCATAGGCTGATGGCTGTTTTACGAATACCTTCAGAAATTGTCACTATCACACGTAATAAAGTGGATGGTATGATTTTGTTTAAATATTTATTGCTATATGTTCATCATTTCAATCGAACTCCATCCTCTGACTCAAACAACACTTGCCAGAGGCTGGAATTCTATCAACATGAAAACCACAGTATAAGTTCCATTTATCTTCTTTCAGGTTTAACAGCATTGTGCATTCTACTAAGACGGCTGGCATATCCAAACAGATTGTGTGATATGGTCCCTATGTTCCACTTGTCAACTCAGTCTTTGTCACAAATCATAAATAAATTGATAAGTGTGATTATGGAGGAGCATGCTGTACTTCTCAACAATTTGAATTCATTGCAGTGGTTTAATAGGGAGAAGTTGGAGTATTATGCACAGGTATTGTATTGTGTAATATAGTTGAAGTGATGGTTGGTTCATAAAATGCTGAAATGTGCTTTTTGTAGGCTATTCATAATAAAGGAGCACCTATGAATAATTGTTGGGGTTTCATCGATGGTACAGCAAGGAAAATTTGTCGACCCTCTGAAAATCAAGAAGAGTATTATTCAGGACACAAAAGGTATCACTGCATAAAATTCCAATCAATAATTTGTCCTGATGGAATTATTGTTAGTTTGAAAGGCGCATATCCGGGAAGAAGGCATGATGCCAGAATATTTAGGGAGTCAGGTATCTCTGAAGAATTAGTGCAAAAGACATGTTTTGACACAAGACGATTTGTTTTATTTGGTGATCAAGGATATGGGCTGAGTGATGTGCTATTTACCCCATTTCATGGCAGAATGGAAGATTTACCTGCCCATCAGCAGAGTTTCAATTCTGCTATGAAAGTTCTAAGGATAGCAGTAGAATGGGGTTTTCAGAAAGTCATATCAGAATTTGCCTTTGTAGATTTTTCAAAAAACCAAAAAATGCTACTTCAAGACGTTGATGCTTTATACAAGGTGGCTGTACTACTTACTAACTGCCATACATGCCTGTATAGTAGTCAGACTGCTATGTATTTCAATACAAATCCACCTTCACTTGAGACCTACATAGGCCACTGATAAATAGAGGACATTTTGGGTTTGAAATACTCGTTTGCTTTCCATCGCCGCAGCCAAGACCAACCGCAGACAGCGCTGTTTCGGGCTCTTTAGCCCTCATCAGTATGGTATAGGTCTGTATCAGGTCCAGCCGTGAAGGCGGACAAATGGAAAGTAAACAAGCGAATGTGGTCTATCAAATAGCGGGAAGACGGTAAATGTAAAAGATGGCTCGCGCCATCTAAATTTCGCTAGAACTAGTTTCTTTGCAATGGAAAGCAAACGAGTATATCAGACTATATTATTGCATGTTCTGCAGAAAATGCTATTGTTAGTTTGTCCTGTGAACGCCTTGCGTTACGACTCTGGTGGCCGGCTACTGTTGGTTGGTACCGGGGTATCTGTACTCTGTACAATTCATCTGAGTCAGCGACCAGAAATCGTAAGGGGTTTCTGCTTTGCCTGCGTCGTCATTGACGAAACTTGCAAAGAAACTATCTCTAGCGCAAATTTAGATGGCGCTAGCCATCTTTTACATCTAAATTTTGGGTTGTTTCTAACTTGTAACGCTTGATGATAATTTGTAATTTTTTATAGACTTGTAAGACCAATAAAGCTTGTTTGGAATGTATGTTTATTTATTTTACAACCATAAGGGCAGCAAGCACCCAATAAGAGATTTCAAAACTAAATTAGTATGTTGCTGAAAATATATGAAATCAACTTCTTCAGGAGTTGTGGATGAAATATGTTTGATCCTGAAGTTACACAGTTTTACTATGTTCATACATGGAACCAGTTGCAGAATCAATTTCATATATTTTCGGCAACAAACTTGGTTTGTGCTCACCATCCTTAGCATCAACATTATTATTTCAATATAAGGCCAGTATATTATTTTTTTAATGGCAAATTATCTATTATCAAGTTTTGTCAGTAATGCTTCAATAAGCTTTTGTTGTGTTTTGATGAGGTCACTCAAGTTTTTTCTTTCAGCGACATCTTGCTCAGATTTCTTTTGTTCTAACTCTATCCTATGTTTTTTTTCTTGAATTTCTGCCTCAAGCCTTTTAGACTCCAAGGCAAGTCTTGCTTTGTCATTTGCAATTTTTTCTTTTTCATTATCCATTTTTTGTTCTTCTAACTTGAGTTCTGCAGATCTTATTTCTCGTGATATTTCCGCTTTTTCTCGTAGGTAATCAAGGCCATTTTTTCTCAATGTTTTACTTTTGTTCATCCTTTTGGTACGGGGGGCTGTAATGATCGAAAAGTAAGTAACAGCAACAATAAACAAATGTATTTATCTTGAACATGAAATGTAAGAGGTAGTTTTGAGCTTTCTGTTTTATAGGTAATGTATAACATACTAGAAACTACTTAATCTAGTAGTAGCCCTCTGAATGGGATGCCATGGCAATGCTATATACGCTGTAGTCATCTGGATCCACTATTTGGTTAGTCTGGCCTGTAAATAAAACCGCAGTGCTAAACAAAAGAAGTTCACTGACAGGTTAGTCATTGCACTGGCTTTTATCAAAGTATATAACATAAGTACCTACACATTTTATATCGAGCACTGGTTTATTTACTGGTCATACTCCATAACCTGTGGATCTGTTTTAGTGTTTCTATTACTGAAGATTCAAGCAGTAATTCTAATCATTGTTTTACCTGATATCTGTTTTGCAGTTCCAACATCTTGTACAGATATCTGTTTTGCAGTTCCAACATCTTGTACAGATATCTGTTTTGCAGTTCCAACATCTTGTACAGATATCTGTTTTGCAGTTCCAACATCTTGTACAGATATCTGTTTTGCAGTTCCAACATCTTGTACAGACTTATTATTATTTTCTGTGTCAACGTCGACTGTAACACAAACACCTAAAACTGTGATAATATAGTAATATGTATAAAAAATGTTTAGAATAGTTATTTTACCGTAATCATGGTCGATTAAAGTGTCATCCACATCAGAAAAGGCCAGCAGTGCCATAGCCTCTCTTTCATTGCGTGTCTTTTCAATCATATCTTTCGCTTTGTTTTCCACTTTTTTCTTTTTTGCTGGTGTAGTTGAGCAGGTCTCTTTCATTAACTCGCTGGCTTCTTGGAGCATATGTTCTCTTTCATTATAGACTTCTTCTATGCCAGACCTGTCAACACAAATGTTGTTTCACCAAGTCTTACATTAAGCATTCTCTTGTTATTAAAATACATGTAGGTACAGTGTGCTATCTTATACTTACTTGACTTTGCTGTTAACCTCCTTTTTGAGGAACAGCTCCAGAAGATGGTTCAGATGCTTTTTTATTGTTCTCAAAATAAATTCTTTTCCCGTAAGCTCTCGCAAGTTCTGTAAGATTGAGTCCCACTTCTCAGGAGAACGGATAGGGTTTTGTGCAATAATTCACGCAGCAAAATCATTTCGTCGTCATACGTGAACCTTATTCTCTTTTATCCATATTCATAGTACCAAAACGCTTCAGCAATCGTTGAATTTTGAGAGTACAAATTTATAGGTTAAATAGGCTTGCGACGACACCCGATTTGCTTAGATCGTGAATCGTCGTGACATAAGAACGCCTAAATAAGCTCCCCCTATTATAGCTTAAATAAGGACGTGCCTTATCCCTATTAATTCCTCATAGATACAGAATTGTATGTGCGCATGCGTAGATGTCAAAATAAGGTCTGCACTAATAAGGCAGATGTTTGCAATATCTCCCTAATAAGGATACCTCACGATCTTCTTAAAAGATGAAATACGTTATCACGATAGATATACACTGAGGCACTTCGTCTGAACCGAAAAATTGTAAACACTCGGCACCGGGTGTCCACTAGACAATACTATACACTACTGTACACTGCTATAAGTACAAAGTCTTGCTATGTTGTGGATTTCTGCTCTCCTCAGGAATTGATCTTTGGCATTAATAACGTCTTTCAATGATATTTATCGTATTTAAGCTGATGAACTGCTAAACGTGAAAGAATAATTGCACAATCTGTCAGTAACAGTTTGGTAGAAGATATGATCATCAATGTTATTTTGCAGCGCTTTGCATGTTCCTTCATCTGCTTGATAATATTTGCCAATCGAAGGGATAGATGACAAGTTTGTTTACTTATTTTCCATTTATACATACTACTCAGGTGAGATACTACTACTACAAGGTTTTTACAATATTTATGAGTTTGTTGGTGGTAAAGTTCTTCGTTGGGAAAAATTCAACAGAAGCAGATGAACAATGCTCGCTTTATGATCTGGAGAAAAATGTGCTATCGCTTTAAAATAAAATTTCCTCTATTTTTTTTAATGTTGTATGATATGATCAATCAATTAGAAACATGACATATAATAATAACATCTCAAAAAATTAGACCAGAAGCTTGAAATTATTAAGTACTATAGTTGTTGGACAGTAAGTAATAGTATCGCTTGAAAATCAAATTTTGTAATCTGTTTCCTCTGATTCAATAATGA